GGGAGATATGAGCTGGTAAGCATCCAGAATGAAGGGCAGGTTATGGGTCAGTGAAACCCAGAGCCTTAAGGCTTGTCTGTGTTCCAAAACCAGAGTGGAAAACCAATCAACGAATTCTTTCAATCAATCCATATTGACCAGACATCTCCTGGGGGCAGAGGCCCAGTCACTCATCCAGGCAGACGCCACATCACATGTTTGCTGAACTGAAGTAAGAGAGGTTAAAATAGAAGACATACTCCCTGTCCTCGAGGGGCTTGTGGCTAATTTGAGAGAGAAAAGTATACAGATGGGTCATTTGAAAGGATGTGGCCCATCTGTATACCGAACAAAATAAAGTCCGGTGAAATGAGTGAGCAAAGCTCTGGCATGGAGGCTCTTAGAGAGTAAAGGCAAGGGGGAGATAAATTTCAGCTCAATGTAATGACCTTGGTAACTCACTGCCCAAAGATGGAAGGGTAATTGTTAGAGTCAGTGAGTTTTTGGCCATGGGAGATATTTAAGCAGAGGCTAGAAGGTCAGGGGGGCCCTTGAAGGGGGTCAGACTCCAGTAGGTAGCAGCATTGGGAAGTACGTAAGTCCCTTCCATCCCTGAGCTGCTGTGCCCTGCCCTGCTGCAGAGGGTGTTGGAAGGGCCCTCTGGCTGGCTTCTAGCATCCTTCTAGCTCCGGAACTGCAGCCATTCAGCAGGTGCCAGGAAACACAGTGCTCCCTGATCTTGCCACCCACATCTCACACCTGCCCCAGGACCATGGGACACTGAGGAGCAGTAGGGGGAGGATATTTTGGTTTCTTGCCTCTACACAGACCTTGTTGGACAGACTGGCTCAGGTTTCCTTGAAAGACACAACACAATGATAGCCTTTTGGCCCCACCAGGGCTCTCTGACTATGTCTTCAGTGACTCATCACCTCTGGGGGAAGGGAGATACAATTAGTTCTTACACTACTTAAGGGAAACTCTGCTACTGAGAAACAAAAGTGGCCTTTGCTCATCATGCAGATCTGAAATCTTCATTTCTTATGGTAATCACTCTAATCTTGGCTTTGAACCTGAGCCCTGGTTTGGCCCAAGTGTAGCATCCTTGTTTAGCTCTGTACCACACAACCTTTTCTGATGGGTAGGCAGGAAAGATCCAGTGGAGAGGGCCAGGAGGTTTTCCAGAGCATGTCAAGGGATGCCAGGACAGCAGGCTGGAGCTGTGGTTGCTGGTCTGAGTTTCCCAGAAGAGTCACCCTCTGTGCCAAGCTATGTGTCTACTCCCTAGACCTTTGGCTCAAAAACCCCACCCCAGCAGTGCCTGGGAAATTGTGCTCTAGTTGAGGACACCCGTGCCCGATGAAATGTTGAATTTCAAGAAGAACCAGAGCTCCAAGAGGCACTGAGGCAATGTTGGCCAGGCCACCTGATGGCTGGAGGTAGAGAAGAATGCTCAGTGGCAGTGACAGGAGCAGCTATGTTTTGGCTCTGTTTCTGACCGGATGTCAGACTACCTGTACTAACAAATAATGTGAGAGCTGGAGTTGGGGGAGTCTAGTTCTCTCTTTCAACCAGAGAAAGAGGCCCAGGGAGGAAAGGGACTTTCTGGCAGTGCAATAATCACCAAAGCTGACATGGAGACTTATGCCCAAGCCATGTTCTCTCAGAGACCCCTGATGCTGCAGGATTAGCCTGTGGGGTTTGTACAAGTAGAGTGGTTCAAAGTCTATCTTCAAGTTTTATTTCACCCAGCATGCCTCATGCTAGGCCTGTGGAGCATTGAGTACAAAGGGACTGCTCATCAAGATCCCAAGATTCTTGGTTTAGAGACGAGTTCTGTGTTCCCAGGCCTCTCTTGGGGCCTTACTTCCCTCAAAGCAAGCTGGCAAATGTGTGCCTCAGGACACACAGGGCTCTCTTGGGCCTGGGCAGCAGGTGACAGAGCAGAGCTGGGATTCCAGCCACAGCTGAAGATGAGCTAGCTGTGAAGTCTTCTGAGATGGGCCTGTGTCCACACTTGGACTGCAGCTGGAACTGGAGTAGGAAGGTTGTTACAGTCATAAAAAGCAAGGCTTTGTGATGGGATCTTTCACTGACATAGGCTTTCTCCCTGGGCCCAGCACCCCAAGCCCGGGCCACACACCCAAGATGTATTCTTATGAGTGTGTGCGTGGGTACTAGTGGCCTCCAGCTAGTTCCCAACAGCAGAACTTTATGTAGCCCAAGTTTGACATCTGGGTCTGATGGCAGCAGTTGCTGCTGCTTCTGCAGACTTCTAAGTCATTGGTTTCTCTCTGAAGAAACTCTTTTATGTCTTTGTTTTCCTGTGTACAGCTTCAGATCTGATCTACCCCAGGCTTTTTCTGGGAGACTTTCTCTACCTTCAGTTTCCCTCTCATTGAAGCCAAGCTGCTGACTCTTAGCCTAGTTTAATCTTTTCATTTTCTGGTGTTGAAGCTGAGGCCCAGAGAGGTGAAGTGAGGTCAGTTCTCCTCATGAACTGATTTTTTTTTTAAGCATCAACACCCCTTCCATCCTCCAGCCCACCAATGCAAAACATCCAGTAACATCCCCAATAGCAGTCCTGGGTTTTCTAAGCCTAATCTCACCTACCTACCCAGGCTCTCCTCCCTCCATCCCTCTGGTTAATTTTAGCTGATCTCAACCACGAACACAGGGTCACAGATCAGACTGAAATAGGGTAGGCAGGCCTCTGGCACTTCTACTAATAGAAAGGGCCATGCCTCTGTGCCTCAGTTTTATCCAAAGTGTATTCAGGCTAGTTAGCCTGCCCTGAGAGAGGATTCTTGGATGGTCAGGTAGGGGCATGCTTCTGGAAACTTCCACAGAAGCCTGACCAGCTCAGGCCTGTATTAGCTTAGAAAATCCCCACCAACTCCCCCACCCCCTAAGCATCTTCTTCCTGACTGCTGCTGACCCTTCTGAGCCTCTAATGCCTCTAAAGCTGCTGGGGCATCTGTCCCCATAGTATCTCACCTGTTTGCCCAGCATGGCCTGGGGCATGCCTGGGCTGGCCTCTCTCTACAGAGTCCCTCCCCACTTTCTTCAGCCCCAGGCAAGGCTCCACTGCCTCAGAAAGGCCACTCAACCTTTCCTTTCCACTTTTTCAGCTGATGATCCCTGGATAATTTATGCAGCAAATCCTCTTTAATCTTTAATCTAGAGCTCTGCTCAAAGGGAACTGCCTGTCTATTTTTCATAGCTTGAGTGGAGGTGGAGAATGTCTGCCATTTCACCTTAGGAGATGTGGAGCGGGGTTTGGACAATCAGTAACTTGGACATCGGTCAGGTTCATTTGCCCCCTTGCGAACTCTAGAGGACAGCTAATGGTTTCTTTCCATCTTGTGGGGCAAACTCCCTCTCCTTCCAAAGGTATCTCCTGAAGATGCCAGGTGGGCCCTTTCTTTTTCCTTAGGGGACTGGTTCAAGGCCCCATGGTGATGCGCTGTCTAAAGAGGCTACTCTTTAGGGGCTAAGGGAAACCAGGCAATAGTGTAGCCCTGTCCTGAGCATCTGTCTGCACCCTGTGGCTCCGAGCATCGCGTCAAGACTTGCTCCCAGGCCGGCTGCCCCCTGCCAAGCACTCACCCTGACCTCCTTACCCCCGCCTTGGAGGTGCAGACCCCGCCCTGTGGCTGGTTAGCC